TTCTCCTCTTTCACCCTTTGTAATAAATCAAAAGGTTAACAGCTAAACAAGATGTTTCGATTACACTACATGCATTAAAGACTGTTCAAGCAGTTCAGCAGCACAAGAGGTTTAGTAGATTCTGAGGACCTGAGAGTGGCATCATTAGATACAGTCTGTAGAAGACATGGTCTGCTCTACTCAAGACAGATACTTTTACTCTCTGACACTGCCTACAAAATTTCCAGCCTACATGGTAAAAGGATAACACATTTAATATCTAACAAGCTTTGCTGTATTTTTCCACCTCACTGTGCTGCCTCCAGAGATCCTCTCTATATTCTGATTTCATTACTGTGGTGTCTGAGACTTTCTTGAATAACAGTCGTGAGATTGTACAAACGCAATGAAGAAAGAGAATTACTAATGTGTTCCACTGATGATTTAACATATCAGCAGGCCTATGAAAAGTAGACATATAAGTCTACTTTCCCCATTTCAATGAAATGTTTCCATAAAATTGACTGAAGCATTTTTCTAATGAATACAAAGATTCAGAGAGGCACTGCTTTTATTCACAATGTGGAGAGATAAGTGTCCAAATGGGATTATCTCTGTTTCTGTTCTGGCTGTGATGGTCCAGTCTGCACTGTAAATTTTTGGCTCTAGAATCTTGCAAGTCATTGAAATGTATAATTTTTTTAGCTTCTTGGAGAGCCTATCTTGAGATATTTTTGATCAAGCATTAGCCCTTGCAAATTATAATTAGCTTAAAAGGAAACTTAGTGTGGTAAGTTTTTTGAAAATTAATGACTGCCACATCTATTTGTGTTTGCAGTAAAAAAAAAAAATCACATTCTTTCTACTCAACCTCTTATTCAACCCTCAACTTTCTTTTTTCCATCCAGAAGCTTTATTTCTGGTCTTTGACATTTTTCTTCTTATATTTAAATTACATTTTTTTTTTTTTTTTTTTTTAATTAAAAAAAGCCAGTCTACAAGCATTTACAGAAATGATGAATTTACTTCTAGGGAATAATAAAAAGACAATACAGGCTCTTTTTTCCATTCGTTCACATACACTATCAGCAAGTGACAATCTATTTTTAGACTACTTCTACTCTATAAAAATCTTACCTTGTCTCCCTTGTAGCCAGGAGCTCCCTATTCGAAAATTAAAAAGGGAAAAAATCATAAAACAGAAAGTAAAGGCATAACATACTGCTAATTTAAGCAGGGGAAAAACCTCAGTAGAGAAATATGTTTCAGAAGTTTAACTATTCACAACAATAAAATATCTCTCGGGAATCATTTAATATATAATTCTCTGCAAATTTAGATGTTTTTTTTTTCCTTATAACATTAGCTGTGAATATGTCACTCAGTTTACTAGCCCATTAGCAGATATGCTGCCATTTAAATGGGACTTTTAAACTGATCTTATGCATGGAGTAGTGTTAATCTTTCTACTGTGAATCAACAAGAATTCAAGTTGAGAAATATCAGATGTCAGAAGCCATTGGAGAACTATCTAGATGTTTTTAGCGATGACATTTGAAATTATATCTTTGGGATAAGTCTAATGCAAGTCAATACAAAATGACATAGCTTCATAAGTTCCTTTTGTCAGTAGCATCCCATCTCTATGCTTAAGCACATGGTTAGACTGTTTCTCTCAATATAGATGCTTCTCTACACCAGAACTTTGTTTAGGTGCTCTAAATAACTGAATAAAGTAGATGTGTGAAAAATGGAAAACACATGTTCAGTTCAGTGGAACTAAACCATGAATCAGAATCTGGAAGATAATCTGAAAAGATCAAATATGAGTTAGCATTGTAGTAGTCACATACCTCTTCACCTTTTTCTCCATGGTCTCCTTTTTGAGCATCGCCCTATTGGAAGCAAAGGAATACAACTGAAATATGCATTGCTCTTTTATTTATCACCATTACACTAAAACCAAGAACACTGTTCAAGGAGCAGAAGTTGCTTTTCCTATTTACGAACATCCACACTTCTTCCTCCCACAATCAAGGACACACAATTCCTGAATGTTAATGTAGAAAACTTGGCTACTGTTATCAGATGACTGAAATCTTCATCACCAGAGCAAGCTGCTCTGCTCAAGAGATTTGTGTACTGTTAGAAAGCTCTGTGGAGCCTACAGAGCCTTCAGCTGGATTCAGAGACCTCTCCTGTCAGAGAAACACTGGAATGATAGGCAGTGTTAACTTGCTAGCAGTTTAGTTTCAAATTTTTCTCTCTCACTTCTAAAGCAGCTAACTATAAATCTCTCACAGTAAAAGTAAATTTTTTAAATCATATTTTAACATACTTTTCCTTTGCTATATTTAACTCTATGATTTGAATAAAACCAGATAGAAATTTGTTTTATTTTATTAAATTCACCTTACCTTGTTTCCTTTTGGTCCTGGCTCACCTTTTTCCCCTCTGTTACCAGCACTGCCCTGAAACAAAGCAGGAAAATGCGAGGAAAAAAATCTCCCCTTTCTCTCAGATTGTATCTTGGGGCAGGACAAAATCATTCTGGAATAAGCTTAGGTAGAAACCAACACTGATTCAGGTATGGCATGCGTGACACTACTTTCACTTAGCTGAAAAGATCTGGTATTATACGGTATCTGAATTTTTTCAATCAATATTCAACAATAAACACATTTTCTACAGAGAATTAGAAAATCTAACCAGGAAGGTGTCACAGAAAACATACACAGTTCCTCCTCCCCATTTTTTAGAGTTACCCACCACTATCTGATCTTCTCTGCTTAAAAAAAGACTGTGCATAGACCAGCTTAGTGTCAATATGCAGCAGCCCCAAAATAAGAAATTACTATACCATTATTCCTGTTTGGAGGATCATGAAGGTGGAGACTAGAAAGTTTGATGTATATGTGTGTATACAAAAAATACATATATAATAGGTTACATCTAATCATTATGTATAAAATAACTTAAAATAATTGCATCTTAAATTTTAAATTGGAAACAAGGGTTTTAGTTCCATATGGACGTTATCCAGAGCCAAGGAACTGGATAATCGGCCCTGCTGTCATAACCTGCTACACATATGGTTGACCCATTGCTTAGTGTCTAAGGAGAAAGGCAAAAACCTCTGTATGTACCTTGGTGTCTCTGGGAGAGCTATTAAAGATACAAAAGGGATCAGAGAGGTCACACACTGTCTCAGCTCCCACTTCTCATTTCTTTATCAGAGCCAAGAAACAGTTATGTGTTGAAGTGTCACAAGAAAAAAAAGAGTGTTGGAGGCAGAGTTTTAGATCTTTCTTCATATGTGTCATCACCCTCAATCTTTTGAAACTTTATCCCTAACACAAATAGAAGCTGCTGGCGGAAGTAAACCTTTGTCCACCTTTCCTTCCCCGTTGCAAGATTCAAGAATAACTTTTTCATTTGGGCTTCAAAATCACATAGCTATTTATCCACAGTGTTTTCTTAGCCAATAATACAAACATATTTCCAAGATAGTATGTGATTATGGATAGATTTTTTTCTGAGCTCTGGTAACAGTGGCCTTTCACAGTGATATGCTATGATACATCATTTCTTTTTGCAATACATGCACAGCTAATGTCTTGCTTTTTACAGACATAGTAACCAATTAAAATACTGTGCAATGTTGATCGCGATGATTAAAATTCAAATTCTGGAGGTTTTTCAACTTAACGCATACTTACAGAATCACCTTTGTCTCCTTTTACTCCCTTTTCACATGCATAGTTCTTCCGCATACACTACAAAGTGAACAGAAATGTTAAGGAGAACATTTTTCAAATGTATTATTTCAGACATAGTAACCAATTAAAATACTGTGCAATGTTGATCGCGATGATTAAAATTCAAATTCTGGAGGTTTTTCAACTTAACGCATACTTACAGAATCACCTTTGTCTCCTTTTACTCCCTTTTCACATGCATAGTTCTTCCGCATACACTACAAAGTGAACAGAAATGTTAAGGAGAACATTTTTCAAATGTATTATTTCAAATTTTTAAAACAAAAAGTCTGGTTTTGCCTAGCCACAGACTAGAGAACATAAAAACCAAGTAACAGGAAGTAAACGATCTTCTAATATATATGTGTCTTATTTAATCAACATTACACTTCTGTATAGTCCAATCAAAATCAGTTGCTTTATTTATTTATAACAAAAATAAATAAATCTGTTACTACTGTAACTACAAATGTTTAAGGTAGCATATACACAGTATGTAGTACTGTGAAACCTTACATAATTTTTGGACCATTTTGACATTGCTGTTGTTTTCTAATGAGACCACTATGGATGTGTTGTATTAGTTCTATTCCACTCTAGTAGGACGAGTTCTTTATGTCTTACTCTTGATACTTCTCACTAATGAACAGAAGTTGTAGATTTCTCAGAAGAAGGGATGGAAGAAATGGATGAAAGTTAAAATAAAAGCAGTCATGGTCGGAAACTTTACTCAGGGAAGTTGCATTACAGAAGAAGCAGACATCAGATTTACTATGAATAAGAGCAATCAAAACACACAGAACTCAAAAAACCTACCTGCTTCTGAAGGAAGGCTTCCTGAAAAGAAAAGAAAAATATTACTTTCATACAGATTTAATTTAACAGAGTACTAATTTAACCACTTTTCCTCTCTAGCTTGCAGAATTTCCAAAGTAAAAGGGTAAAGAACGTGAACATCTTCATCCTTCATCCCTTCCTCACAGTGGTAAGAACCAGTCTGTGGAACTACTCGCCTGAAAAAGGGTTCTCCAGTAGGAACAGGGGCTTACTTCATGTGATCCATAGTGATCAGAAAACAAATAATAGGACAGGTAAACAGACAATATTAAGGAACAATGCTAACAAGGGGAATATGAAAAGACTTCCTAATGAAAGGCCTTTCTACTGAAGGCCCTGCCAACATTATATATAGGGGAAGGACTCAGTGATTTTATCAGCTTTATGCCTGAGAACAAGTTACCTTCTAAAGTATTATCATACGCTCAGAGACACAGTCTGTGTGCTGGGAAATACCCTGCCTCTTCATCAGTGACCCGTGAAGCTCAGCTATTATTGTCCAAGCACACAGCTCCTCGACAAGCGGCTGGGAGGAGGAAGCTCTCTCTGTCCTAACTCCTGATGTAGCAGAGACATTCACCACAAAAACCTCTGCACTGCCTTCAGGACTGACTTACCCAGCAAAGTTAAATGAGATTTGCCATGGATAGATGCGTGACAAGATTAACATCAGCATTACTTACCAGTTCCAATGCTACATCAACTATCAGGTTCTGATCATCCAGGCATAAGACATGTTTAGAGGATGAATCACCAGATATCACACGCAATTTTTCTTCTTGGACTTTTTGCTTAGAAAGGCCAATGGTAAAAAAATGTATTCCAAGACTCCTAGCTGCTGTGGCTATACCCTCGACATTAGGGCTGTTTGGATGATCCACACCATCTGTCATCAAAAAAGCCACTTTCGTACTTCTCTTACGACCTTCACTTTTAAACAGCTGAGTTGCATTGGAAATTGCATAATAGGAGTAGGTGCCGTGGCCAATAAAGCCCAGAGACTTGATTTGCTCTTTGAAATTCTTCACATTTTTCCAGGCTGTAAAGGGATGATCAATGCTGACTGTGCTGCTGAACTGCATACTTGCTAGTTTGACATTATACTTCTGAGACTTAACTGGCTTCATCTGGAAAATGCTGTCGGTTAAGTTTTGAACAAAATCCTTCTGCAAATCAAACAACTGATTTTTGGCACTTTCTGAACTGTCCAAGATAAAGACTATGTCAACGAGACACATATCACCTGTAATGGAACAAGAAAGTGAAACCTATGAATGATGGGCACACCTGCACACCAGATTTCAGATAATTCTCTGCAACAATCTCCATCCTCAAAACATTTCCCCAAGGAGACCTCTGTCTTCCCAGTAAAAATTCTAAGGAGAAATTTTAATGTAAATGCCAAGAAATTCTACTGAAGTCAAGTAACTATATTTAAGTTACTTTAATTCATACCGGTATTATTAAATACGGTCTACAGTCAAAAATTTTCAAATTAGGGTCTTGATGGGATTGTTTTAGCATTTTAGTTCCACATGCAATTTCAAACTAAAAATCAGGCTCCTTATCATTTATCTTAAAAGAGATATGCATGTCAGTGAAAATCATAGGTCAAACTGGAGTCTATGACCAAGTAAATGTCATCACTGTATTTTCCAGGCCTGATAATCAAAATAAATCACATTTTATAAATGCATACAGAAGTTTTCAATGACTAGCTAATTAACCTGAAATATGCAGAGATATACAACATGTTCAATCAGAAATTTTAAGAAAATGGTTTTACCTTCATCTCTTTGCATGAGAGAATAAGAATTCTTTCCTTTCTTTCTGTTTTGCCCATATACTATCTGGTTTGTTGTTACAGCCAGAAGTAAAAGGCAAAAGAAAAAATGGTTTTTCCACATAGTGACTTTGATCCCAAATGAGATGCCTTTTCCTTCCTGTTAAAAGTAAAAAAACCACCTGTGAATACATCATTAATAAATACAAATAAATAAATACAGATGCTTTACATACAGAATACACATTTGTGGGAAGCACAATTCTAGAAACAACATATAAAAAACAATTATAAAAAGTCACTAGGTAGGTGATTTAAGCATAGCAGCCAGTACAATCCCAGCTGTGGCTCACATGTTTATTAGAACCTGTTTTATTAGAGAAGAAATACGGATAGAACAAAGACAGCGCTCCCTTTTCTTTCTTAAAAAAAGCCAGTGCTATCTTTAGCTTTCATTTGAACATCTAACAAAGAAGGGTAAAAGAAATTGTTACTCATGCATATTTCTATTAACATACTTTTCTATTAAATTAATTATATTCAATTAGCATAAATATTATAGAAAACATAGAATATAGTTTGTTTCTAGAAATTCCTAATTGCAAAGATCTGGGTGTTTTGGGATGCAGATATGCTACCTAGGTCTGGAGCATCAGCATGAACAACTTAATTCTTCTAAGAAACAATTGTTTAGTAATGAAATTCAATACATGAATGTATCATTAATGTCAAATGGCTGTAGTAGAATGTGTGCAATATTTTCCATAAAGACAATATTCTATTATAATGACAACATACGCTTATAAAATGAACATTACAACATTTAAGTCAGCAATTCAACATATTTCATGAGAAAACTGAACTCCATTAAGTGGTTTACAAAAAATGCCTCTAATTTACAATAAGTAATTTGAAATATCATTACTTACAAAGGCAACATTTTAAATTTAAATATCCTTCCTAAATCAACTTTTCAAGTATATCAAGCAGTTACATATACAGAAACTGTAAGTGCAGTCCTCTGTAAATAGAAAGGAAATAACTAAGTCTCTTTCTTACCTTTGAAGGCATTCAAAAAGCAAACTGTGGATTGAGTAAGCTGTCAGTGTAGAAAATATGTCCAGTAGGTCATACTGGAAAATATGTTTTCTTTACAAAACCAAAGCAATCTGTAAATAAATAGCCTATCCACTTGTACACAGCTCTACCTTGCATCTAGATTCGTTATGGTCCATTATTGCTGTTTAGTTAGCCGAAGTTTAAATGAAGATAGCCAGGCACTTAGCCAGGGCTGAGTGGGAGACCAAGCCACTCTATTAAAGGGACAGTGTCAGTCTGGGAGAACAAGTGTTTTCCAATTTTAAATAATTGAAGTTTTACATTAAAAAAATTACTTCCAGACAATCTGCATCTTTACTTGTCACTTTTCAGCCAGACCTCTTCAGCTTGCCCATCTCAGTGTTGCAGCACTGGCTAGATGAGAGATGTGAGATCAGTACATTATCATTTGTGGGCTAGAACTGAATTCTGATCCGATGGTTTGTGAGTCTGCCAGGACCATGAGCATGTCTCAAAGGTGATAACTGCATTTGCAATTACAATAATAAATGACAACTGAAAAAAAGAAAAAAATTCTTCCTGAGTTGTTTTCCTGAGAAATTCCTTCTGCTCTTTAAATCCTCTGAGGGGTCAGACACAGACAGGATGCCTAAAAGGGGGCTGTCATTTAGGCAGTGCTCAGCATGCTGCATGCAAATTATATTTGCTCTATCTAATGGCAGGCTTCAGAGTAAAATTGTATTGTCACAATGTCAAGTAAAACATTGGCATGAGACAAAGTATGCCAGTGGTCAGTCTCCAGGACTCCTGACATGCCTTCAGGGAGTTCTGTGCAGATGCCCGGCAGAAGGTCTGCGCCCAGCCTCTGAACAGATGTTGCCTGCCAGACAAGACATTCCTCAGCGCCTCAGAGGCAGGACAGAATGGGGAGCTCCTTTGCATGGTGCTGCAGCAGGGAGGACTTGGGATTCATCACTGGGATGAATCGGGTCTCTGGACTGCTATGTGATCAAGCGTTGAAAAGTTTCAGTTACAGATTAGAAAATTTATGAATAATTTGGGCATTTCAAAAACACATTATAAAAAGATGGTTTTGACTGAAGCAGATTTTTTAGCAGAGGTCCAATCTTTCATCAAAAATGTACGCCTGAAAATGCATAAACACTATAACAGTACGTAACCGTATATAACGATTCAACTGTACTGAGCAGCTTTAAAAAAATCTGCCTAAATGCTATGCAAGTTGCGTGCTTTAACTTTTCCCAACATAGATGTTCCAGACTTGAGATCACCTTGGTAGCTTATGTCTGGGACACTACTTTCAAACATATACACCAAAAATGCATCCAGTATCTAATTCTATAGGACAGTAATGTTGTCTATTTGCGCTTTTTTTATGTTTATAAACTCAAAGACCATGTGTGCTCTTTTCATTCCAGCACTTGATGGAAGTTTCATGGTGAAATGAATACCTCTCATTACCCAGCAGACAATTTCAGCATGGCAAGTAGTGGGCAAAGCTTAGGGATGGCTGTCTTGCCAAAAAAATATGGAAGTTGAGGCCTTTCACTCTCTGGAAGTAATTTCTGCTTTTTTAGTTTTGTAGGACCAGAGCATCTGAAAGATGAAAAGGCACAGAATACAGAATTTCTAAGCTTTGATTCTGATATTGCAGATTTAATCAGGTTATTTAGTAGAAACATTGTGAATACCACGCTTATCAATTGCCATTGAGATGTCTTTCTTGAAGGCATTCCACTGTCACAAAATGCTAAAGCACATCTGTTTATTCTGCATCCAACACAGCTCTTTCACATCATGTTCTATAGAAAGATGTTAGAGCACAACATAGTAGAGTGCAAATACTTGCTCTCACAGAATTCCTGGTCTCCCAATCAACAAATAACATTATCTTCTTCTTGAAGTAAGTTAAAACAGTTTTGAGCAGGGAGGGAAAGAACTGATCCACTGAGGAGAGTAACATTCTAAAATTCAGATTACCTTCAAATTCAGCAGTATGAAAAACTACAAGGAAAAAGAATGAATTCTTTAAACTCCACTAATCAAATCCTCAATTTTTATTTTTGGTACAGTTACAGACCCTAATAGCAATGTAGTTGAATGTCTTCTAGGATAGGGTTTCTCCTAAATCAGAGAATGCAATGTCTGATCTCCCTGGCCACAAGACACTGAAGCAAGTGGTGTTTCACAAACCATTGCCATTATAAAATGATGTATATAATCACACTCTCCTGTCTTTTTTCAGTTCCCTCATAGAAAACTGTACAGAAACCATGCTTGCTTTGCTTTTCATTTGGTGTTTCATTAAAATTTGGGGGAAGGGGAAAGAGCAGAGGGAAAAAGAATCGGGCGTCACCGCCCAGTGAGCATAAAAAAGTCTCTGCCTGCATTCAAGTTGGTAGAAGCACCCTCCATCATCAGACCTGAGAGCAAGGTCTCCTCTATTGCTAGACCAAACACTTCCTTCAATACCCACTTACTGCTTCTCCGAGGGTAGATCCCTTTTAAAAAAGATATTCAGTTAGAAATCACACCTTTGCAAACACCCATAATCTATTCATGTGTGCTGTGAGCCATGAGTATGACAGCATATGTAACTTCAACTTATTTCAAGGGTGAGACAACACATGCTAAAGAACTCGCTGAGGTCTTAGCTCTTAGCAAAGATGGAGATAACACTAATCTGGTTGCATGGCAGAGGGGTACATCTGCCATGTGATTGCACATAGTACCATTACTACACAGAATTGTCAGTCTGTGCATGCTCCGTTAACAAGAAATGTGTTGGAGGAATACGCTGCCACCAGAAAAACATCTTACATGCCACCACTGCTCGCACTCTTTTCTCAGTGCAATCGAAGAAGGATTAGCTGTCCCAGCAGCTGCAGCCTGCTCCTGAAAGGCCTCCTTCCTAGGAACCTCTACATCATCTCCTATCGGATGATGGATGAGCATGTGTCACCTCCATTGAGGTTAAGTGTCTTCATTAAACAAATGTTGTCATCATTACACAAACTGAGACTAAAGAGTTTCAATGGAATACAATCTTTTTACACTAAATATCTGTTAATGCTATATATAAATAATAATTACTGGCAGCATCCAAAATCTGTTGGATCAGAAACAATAGCAATGATTAAGCATTTCATTACTAACAAATTGGTCACATGGATCACTCATACCATTTACAATACTTATTCTTACCCTTACGCATGCTTAGATCAAGACTTGTAAGCAGCTTATCCATCCAAAACCAGATCATCAGCTAAAGAAGAACGCTTTTTCCAGAAGTTGTCAAAGTTTACCTACACTATATGCCAAAACAGAATTGAGTGAACAGATTTCCAGCTGTGTTCAAGGATTTCTCACTTTTTTTGGACCTGCAAACATGACTCTTATCTGGCAGAGATCAGAAAATGTTAACATTTATGATTTTTAGACATAACAATTTGACTGGTCAAATACACATACAACGTGGTAGTTCTTACAAACATACAGTATTCAGATAGCAATGGGGTCAAGTTTGGTTTTATTTTTCTGGCTAGAAAATCTGTAGATCTGTTACATGTTGTGTGTAATTGGTCTCTGGAAACAGCCTAAGCTCTTCTTCATTACTTACTGGGCTTTGGGAAGTACAATAAGGATTCTGACAGTTCTGGTACAGGGTTGTAGACTTACAATTCAGAGCTTTATTTTTTCACTAGTCTTGTCAGTATATAGTCACACAGCTCTATATTCACTGACCCGATGGAATTAATGGCTCCAGACTCACAGCATTATTTTTAACGCTACTACTACTTGCTAAGCTGTTTAGTGCAGCAATGTTCCAACAGCTGCTCTAAACCCCATGCTCTGAACCAGATGCTCAGTACATCTAGCTCCCAGCACTACTGAATCTGCCTAATGCACTCATTACATGACCACACTAAAGCTCTGGTCTGCAATACAAAGTTTCATCTGTAAAACTCATCTTATGTTGCTGCTGAATTTCAACTTTAAAAGCCTTTAGTTCCTGCATCCATGCTAAGTCACCTCTTCTACTAG